CAGCAACCTGTCCCCCAGCTCAAAAAGGTTGCCTACCCCTGGTCTACACACATGTATTTCCCAGTCTTTTGTGGCTGTTGATAGGGATTGCATGTGACATATGTTCTGCTTATGTGCATTATTTAAATATTCTTTAAATATGACCAATAAAATATTTCTCTTTCACGCACATGCACAGAAATACATGCTTTTATCACAAACTCAGGGTGGGAAGAAGCTGAGTGAGAGGGAAAATGAAAAATCAAACATTTTTTCTCATATTTTGGGGACTTTATAGATCAAATCAAGGCTCAACTGTGATGAGAGAGAGAAAAGGGTTTTTTTTTTTTTAAAAGATAGAAGAGGTTTCCAGAATAAAAAGCATCCTGTTCTTTGACTTGCTCACAGGTAGATGAAAGATATCCGTGGCACCTTCTAGGACATTTGTGAAGCAAAAAGAAAAACTATGGAGCCTGCTCAGGTAAGGGAGGGATCTTTGGGAGAAAATTGCAAGGGACAACTTGAATTCTTGCTTCCAAATTAACTGCTGCCTTTACTTTGCTGAAAGCCATCAAAGTTGTCCACTAGGAAATGATGGAGGAATTCCACTAGTAATTTGTTTGCAGGAATTCCTGCAGTTTGGGCATTGATTTAAAATCCACTGTGATTATGATAATTACTTAAGTCCCTTTCACTAGAGCAAGCATTCCCCTTTGTTTTATATGCTACAAGATTATGGGCTGTGTAAGAAATAACTGTGTGTAGGGAATTGGGTGGCCATCCTTAATGTGTTAACTAAACATGTTAATGATAATTATTTGAACATTTTAACTGCTATGGGGAGCACCCAGATGTCTCCCCCTGCCTTCCTTGTTTGGAGGGATGATTGTTTCCTTCTTTGCACTTTGCACTTCTTTGCAATAGGATCTGCCTGGGCATAGATGAGAAGAAGTGGGGAAATAATCATTTACAGGTTATTTTTTGAACAGCCTCTTTTTAAAATTTAGCCTAATGTAGGCTTTTGCAAATTGTTTTAAGAAGAACGAGTTCTCACGATATAGCTCCTTGGGTTTTCCTGGTTGTTGTCATCTCTGTACTACGCATTCCACTCTTTTTGGAGGCTGATTGTAGGTTTTTCTTGGACCTACACTAGAGTTCTTCATGTTTTTGTTCTTAAACTGGGGCATGGTTTGTAATAATAATAATAATAATAATAATAATAATAATAATAATAATAATAATAAATTTTATTTATAGCCTGCCCCTCTGCACGGCAATCGAGGCGGGTTGCAACATTTAAAACAAACCAAGTTAAAAACATTCCCTCCTCCCATAATGCACCCTCCCACCCCTTAAAACGGAATTAAACCAAGAAGAATTAAAACATAACAGTACAATTAAAACAATAAGTTAACAGCAAAGAATCAGTTGTGCCAACAAGGGAATTGTAGAGATTGGCCTATGATTGGAAGGGATTTTTTCCCTCTGAATTTGTAATATTTTTTTAGAGTTATAGTGCAAAAATGCAATTTCTTCAACTTCAACTTGCAAAGCAAAGCAAAGCAGCTTCATTTATATACTGCTTCATATACACTATGCTGTGTCTAAGCGGTTTACAACTGTAAGCTCATTGCCCCCCAACAAGCTGGATACTCATTTCTTGAATGTGTTATAGCAGTTTAATTTTTAAAAATATGGTGGCCCACAAGGAAGATCTTTCCCATAGAGCCACTGTGTCTTTAAGGTGCTTGAGCTAGCCTGCACCTTCATTTAACTCATGAAGATCCCTTAATGGTATAATAATGATGATGAAGATGATAATGATGATGTTTATTTATAGTGCCCTTTTCACCAAAGGGTGAAACATCAAATATATGCAATCAAAAGTAGAGACAATAAAGCATAACACTATAAATGTACTTAAAATCCCCAACATCCCACCAGCTACTCTCCATCTCAGCAACATCACACACACAACTCAACTGCAATAATAATAATAATAATAATAATAATAATAATAATAATAATAATAATAATGTAATTAATCCTGGGACTCATTTGCCAGACTCATCTGTCTTTGCCCCAATATGGATCCCACAGTGAATGCAACAAAGCCAAAAATTGATGAGAGATGAGATGAATGGAAGGAGTAATGTTCCCAGTAAGGACACCCTGAGAACCCCACTTGTAGTATTTACTTGGCGATCTCTTTATGGGCAAGTTAGATTAGGTGAGACAAGTTATAGGCAACTTGGTAACTTATCACTGTTTTGTATAACACCACTGATAATGCCAGCCACTGGCCATATTGGCTGGGGATATATGATGGGCCCCCATCCCCAGATATCTGGCCGGTGTTGTTGTTGTGTGCCTTCATATTGTTTCCTACTTATGGTGCCCCTAAGGCAAACCTTTCGTGGGGTTTTCTTGGCATGTTTTGTTCAAAAGGGATTTTGTCATTCCCATCATGTGAGGCTGAGAGAGTGTGACTTGCCCAGGGTCATCCAGTGGGTTTACATGGCCGAGCCAGAACTTGAACCCTGGTCTCCAGGATCATAGTCCAGGACTCAAACCACTACACCATGCTGGTTCTCATAGGTGGTAGTAGGGTCTGATACAAAAATCTGAGATGGGAGGAGTGGGCCAGTGTTTTGCAGTATCATTTGACAAAGCATTGTCTGCTGCCTGTTTGAAAATGGGGGAGCCCAAAGTGATCTAGATATTGGGCAGTAGTAAGAACTCATAGGAATATTTAGAAGCAGAGGTCCGAAGTAAAGAATTTTCATCAATGGGTCCTCATGACGATAGGTTTTCACTATTCTGTTTTAAGACATTTTAGTAAGACTGAGTAGGGTAATCTGTCTATATTGTGATGAGAATGTGTGTCCTTTTTTTCTTTTCAGGTCTCAGTGTCCTTTGAGGAGGTAGCTGTGTATTTCACTGAAGAGGAATGGGCCCTGCTGGCTCCACGTCAGAAGGCACTGTACAGGGAAGTCATGCTGGAAAATTATGATATGGTGGCATCTCTGGGTAAGGCTCGCTTTTCTCCCTCAATACGCACATCGTGACTATTCTGGTGACTGTTATGGAGGAAGAAGTATGGGTTCAAGCTGACCATGAATGTGAACTCATGTGTATGTGTGTGTGTGTGCGTTTGGCATGGAGTTGGACACAAAATACACAGTCAGGAGAAAAACTATGCAGATGGATAACTGGAAACATAGGGAGCAATGTGGCACAACA